TTTTATCCTCCAGTACGACAAACTTATCTGATTTTCGAAAACGCGTTGGAAATAGGCTTGACGCCTAACCCCAGGCCTTGGCGCCTCGAATCAGGCCTGGCGCTAGCCATTGGCGCCTGACGCTAGTGTTGGTGCCTGGCGCCAGCTAGCCAGGGTTGGCGTCAGCTCTATTAACATGAATATGATTATGATTATGATTATTATTATTTTGATGATGATTATTTTATTTATGATTGTAATTTTATTCATGATATTTATTATGATTATTATTATGTTGCTTGATACATATTATATTTATTGTTATTGCTTGATCACGCCTTTTATGCTTGTTTAAAGGGAATTGATACTTGTAATCACGCTTAATAAAATAATTAATAATCTTGTTTAGGTTTAATGTGATTATAATTCAAGTGATCACCAATAATAGATTTATTTGTGCATTAAATTCAACCAACATAGATAAACAGGTTTAGGGTAATCCTATTGATTGCATGTTAATTAAAAAGCGCACATGAATACGATCAGAATAAAGTAGAGGCCTATTATTAGGGCAGGTTCAATCTCTTTTAGGTTGGATTTGTACCTTCATCCCCGAACCCTTATTTGGTTCAAGACCTTATGGAGTTGACGATCTCTTGGATCGTTAAGGGGTGTAACCTTCATCCTGTGAACGGTTTACAAGTTCCTTAAAAACTTGTTGGCGACTCTTTTGCTCTATCTTCTTCCCTTTTGGACGCCACCGTACTTTAGTGTATGAACACAGTGGGGTTCAAGCTAGTGGGATTTAAAGGCTTGAAATTTATTCTCTACACCAGTCATTTTAGACAGGGTCATTATCTCAGGTTACGGGTCAAGAATTATTTTTCACCAATATTATTATTATTGGTCATTACATGTCTACAAGTTTAAATCGTCACAAAAACATATCAATTCCTAACTAATTTTGTATTAATGATATGTTTTAAAATTTGACATACAGATTAAAAATATATCTTAAAATTCAATAAACAACCCGGGCATCGCACGGGCACAAAACTAGTGTATTATAAACCTAATATTTTGACACTATCAGATAATATTCGAAGATTTAATTACTACTTTTTATCTATATATTAATAATTATCTTATTTGAATCATATTTTAAATAATTTAGTCATATGATATATATATTTTTTTTGAATGAATTTAGTCATATGATATAAACATTTTTTAAATGATAGAATTATCTTTTGAATGATATAATTATAATTATTTTCAGATGATATATTAATAGCCATCTTGTTATAAAAACTAATAATAATACAAGCATACTGTGACGAATTCTAAACCCTAGCCTTCTTTTCTCTCTTCTCTCTCCAAAACCTAGTCTCCATTGTCAATTTTAAAGGGGCTTCCATCGGATTTCATCGGTGGAAAGCCCCAATCTTTATTTTCTTTTAAGCCTTTTGTTTTAGATTACAATAATGTCTCCCTCAAAAGAAAGGGTTTATCTCCTTTGAAAGACAAGGTTTTTTCAATCTCCTTCGAAAGACAAGGTTTTTTGTACTTCTTCGAAAGACAAGGTTTTATTTGTGCTTAATTTGGTCTCCGGTTGTGCGGGGATACTATTGATTATGACTCGAATTTGGGTTACGGAATCAGTACAAGAATTTACTTTCTCACAAATATTGAAGTGACGACAGATCCACTCAAAAAGTTGTATGAGACAACGAATCGAAAATATGCCGAATTGTTATATTTATGTATTTGGATTCTTAGCCCTTCCCCAATTAATTCTTGTTTGATTTTGTTAAATTCGTTTTCATTATCATTGATTGTCAATTGTAGATATCGTATAGCTTATTTTAATGAAATTTAGTATCCTTTAAGACTTCTTTCAAAAAAAAAATAGTCATCTTGTTGTGATTTCTCGTCAAAAAAAGTCTTGTTGTGATTTATGTTTGAATGATATAGTCGTATTTTAAATAATGTGGTCATGTGATATAATCATTTTTAGATTATATAATTGAAGGAGTTTATAGGTACTACGCAGCGGAAATAATATGAATCCTATTCAATTAAGCACCTAATCCCAAGAATCACATGCATAACACAAAAGACACATAAGCATACCTATGAAGCGTGAATTCCATGTAGCTATTCGACAGTGTTGGACTTAATGATTTTGATGATGACACAACGTCACTTGCTTACATACTAATAAGAGCTTGATTGTTTAAGTGTGTGGTCAGATGCAATGACTAGGAGAATTAAGTGTCATGCAAAGATACCATGAGGAACAGGAAAGTCAGAAACAAAGCTTTCCATAAAGAAGAGTTCCTTTATAGGAACTAGTGCTTCAGAAATGAAGACTTGAGAAGAGAAGGTTCCCCTTAGGGAACAGAAGTTTCAGAGAAAAAGTCTCACCAGAGAAGAGAAGTTCCTTCCAAGGAGCAGAAGCCTCGGAGTAGAAGCTTCATTAGAGAACATGAAGACTAAATATATTTTTATATTTTAGGATTTGTGTAAGTATAAGAAATTAGTTACACTCGAAAAATCTGTGTGGAATTGGTCTTAGGATAAAATATTGTGCATGCTAGTTTTTAGGAAAACTGTTAAGTTTCAAATGATTATCTTTTTCTTAACTAAAAAGATTTTATTTCTTTTTTGATTTTTGAAAATATCTTTTGCAAATAAAATCTCCCATGTTTTTCCAAAACTTGCGGCCTACTCTCCCATGTTCTTCTTCAAGACATGGTCTTGCATATTGAGGAGTTCATGCTTCCTTAATTTAAGGGGACATGATCTTCTTAGTGGGTTGGAGGAGTGGCGTAATAGAATTACTGCACAAAGAAGTTTTTCCAAGGCGTTTGTTGCTCTATAAATAGTTATTGATTTCAGTTGGAAAGCTCACCCTTTCTCACATAAGTTTTCAAGCTTTAATTCGAGTTAAGAGTCCAATTCTACATAAGTTAAATAGAGTGTTCTTAATGTTCTTATACTAGAGTTTAGTTTTCTTTTGAGTTGTAATTTAGGGAATGGGGAAGTTTGAGTGAACTTCTGTGTATGAGAAGGAGATGTGAGAAAGAGAATAGAAAAAGAAGAGAAAGAGAAGAGAAGAGTGACAAGTTGGGTGACTTGTTCCTCGGGGTTTCAAGTTCGTTGAGGAGCTTGAAGTTTGAGTCTTTAGTTTGTAATAGGACCATTTTCCCTATTCTAGTGAAGATTATTTTCCCAAAATCCCAAGTGGTCATGATTTTTCTCCTTGTTAGGATCAAGGAGTTTTCCACGTAAAAATCTCTCTTGCATCTTTCAGTTCCTTTAGTTAATCTTTCTTTTCCTTTAGCTTACTTAGTTTTAATTCCGCAAAAAGTTTGGCTAAACTCTCATACTACAATTCAACCCCCCTTCTTGTAGTATTCTTTGAAGCAAAAATTGGTATCAGAGCCTAACTTCTAGGAAAATCAGGAAACTCTAAAGAAGAAAGGTCTTGGAGAAAATGAATACTCATGAAAAGCTTGAGGAAGGATACTCAACTCAGAGGCCTCCTATGTTCAATGGAAAATTCTATACCTACTGGAAGAACCGCATGGAGATCTTTATCAAGACGGAGAACTACCAAGTCTGGAGGGTCATCGAGGTTGATGATTTCAAATTCACCAAAACAAATTCTAAGAATGCGGTAATCCCTAAGCCTATGTCTGAATATGAGAAAGAGGATTTTGATAAAATGGAAATAAATGCTATGGCTGTAAAATTGCTCCACTATGGACTTGGACCTCATGTACACAATCGTGTTATGGGGTGCAAGAACGCTAAGGAAATCTGGGATATGCTGCATATTACTCATGAAAGAACCAATGAGGTTAAACGCTCAAAAATCGATCTACTTAAGTCTAAGTATGAAAGATTTGAAATGTAGCATAAGGAGACCATTCAAGAGATGCTAACCCGTTTTACTAACATCATAAATGAGTTGGTTTCCCTTGGTAGACAGATTTCTACAGATGAGCAGGTTAGGAAGGTTCTTAGAAGTCTTCCGCAAGATAAGAGATGGAGAGCTAAGGTGATAGCCCTTCAGGAAATGCAGGACTTTACTAAGTTCAACATTGAACAACTAGCAGGTTCTCTCATGACTCATGAGCTGCACCTTGGAGTCAACAACGAATCCATAAGAAATAAGGGATTGGCTCTTAAGGCTGATGAGGAGGAAGACTCAGAAGTGGACGAGGATGAGGTTGCCCTAATTGTGCGAAGATTTAAGAAGATGTTCAAGAAAGGTCGAACCTCAAGGAACTTCGGGAAAAAGACCTCAAACCCAAAACCTGACTACAGTTGCCACAGGTGTGGATCCCCAGATCACTTTATCAGAGACTGTCCCCTTTGGGAAAATGATAAAGGAAAAGGAAAGGCTAAGGAACAAGGAAGAGAAAAATTCAGCAAAGCAAACTATCAAAAGTCAGACATGAGGAAGGCCATGATAGCAGCCTGGGGAGACTCAGACAGTGAAGAAGAAGAGGATGACCAACCAAAAGAGGAGACGGCTAATCTTTGTCTGATGGCTAAATCAGATGATGAAAAGGCTTACCTTGAGGAACTTCAGAAAGAGGTATTTCTTGATCCTAAACAGCTTAAAATTCTCTCTAAAGACGTCTTAATAGATATATATCTAGAAGAAGAAGAATTCTTTAAAGATACATGTGTGAAGTTGAACAAATGTGAAAAAGCTCTTAACACTACTAGAAAAACATTTATTTGCAGCGGTTAAAAAATCATTAATTTGCTGTGTTTTTCGGGTGACAGCAAACGCCAGGGCAACAAATCAATTGATTGATTTGCAGGGGATATCAATTGATTGATTTGCTACGGCGACATCCCCTGCAAATCAATGCATTTATTTGCGGCGGATTTCTATTTTAACCCCCGCAAATAAATACATTCTACTAATAAAATAATAATTTTTTTTTCTGCGCTTAATGTGTAACACCCGCTACTAATTAATAGTTTTTTTTTTAAAAAAAAAAAACCATAATTTGGTAATAAATAATTAATAAATCAAAATTTAGAGAGAACCTCCTCTGTTTTTACGTGTAATTTACTCATGAAGGACATGTATTCTTGAACTTTATGAGTAAAATACTTTAATTAGCTCAAAATTAGATTACCACAATACATATGATAAATTGTATTGTACGATTCAATTTTCTATATACAAAAAATATCAATCCAAAAGAAAAGTCAAAATATTGCCGCGAAACTATGATCACACGCAATAATTAATGAAATATGAGGCATGTGTTCCGCACTTCTTCAATATCATCATCAGTGTAAGGGTCTTCATTTAAAAACATGCAAACCTATGAACATGATAAAATATATATAGTAAGTCATCAAAGCAATTTTAATAACAATAATAATAATACTTCACTTCTATACTTCACTTATGCAAAAATAATGGCATTTGGACAACAATTGACTCACATAGGTTCAAAAGTGGTTATATATTTATGAAAGAGTCAATTTTAAGATATATTTTTATTTGTACTCGCTTCATCAGAAATTAGTGTCACATTGTTCCTAATCCCTCCTATACCTCTTTGCTATGGACCAAATGAGTCAGCCGCATCAGCCATTCAAGGTTTATACGCGAAAGCACAAATCAGCACACAAATCACGTACAGAGCACAAGCAGAGCAGCCATATAACAGCAACAACAAGACAAAAAATGACCACTAAGAATTGTGGGAGGAGGTCTGAAATTCTGTGCAATCCACATAGGCAGTAGAAGACAAATGAATGATTGTATTAGGGAACTGAATGAGAGGAATGCTTGATATAAAAAAGGAGATAGTAGAGTATGGAAAGGTTCTGCCATTTTTGATGTTATTCTATATCCTTGTGTGTGAAATTGTTTCATTGTTTGAGGGGAGTGGTGAGTCTATACCACTCTTCCTAGTCCCTCCTATACCTCTCAGAAGGATATAGAAAGACCCTTATTTTTGGTAGAGGGAGGAGGAGGAGGGGGTGATGCTATTATGTGATTTAAAATACCATTAACAACCACATCTAAACTGCAAGGGAGAAAAAGATGTGCTAATCAGAAATCAGGCATCAATGATAACATTTGTAGGTTCCAGCAGTAAAAGACCAAGGGGAGCCCTGCATGGATTTCTCCCCAATTTCAAATGAGCACAACAAATAGTGCATAAACTTAATACTCCAAACCTCATGTTTTATTTCAAATACGTTAACCACTCCCCAACACACAGATTGCTATCATCATTATAAAAGACTAATTTCTTCCATATACCCACATGCTCATGAATATGCAGCTATATGGGTAATATAAAAAGGAATCAATCTAACAAGGACAGGAAAACAGTAAGCCCTTAACATGTACTTTGCAGTGAAGACATAGGTCTTAAGTTATATAAGGGGTCAAGGATCTTAAGGAAACCATATGTCACAACAATGCTATAAATGCCACATTGTATTTATACATCTGAAGACTGAACCCACCAAAGTCTAACATTAAAACATCCTTCACAAAAGGCACATTACAACAATATGATGTGATCTGGAAATAAAATTAATTCAAATATCATCATGGCTAGCCAATTAAAGCAGTTGTAATAATTTTGAACACGGGTGTACATCATAGCCATACCTCATCAATATCATTTGCTTCACCATATTTGGAGAGTATGTCATACATGTATCTCATTGTGTAAAAGCCACACTCGGTACCACCTCTTTGTTGAGCACACTAAGTAAAATTGAATAAAAAAAAACAGATTAAGGTGTATAATTGTTTTAAGGGTACCAAAATAGATTCCATACGATATCATGTAAAACATACACTTTACTTACCTTCACAAGTTTCCATAGAGGTTCTTTTCTATTCACACGGTTTCCATTTAGCTTAAACCTCGTTAAAAAACTATTTATTTTGATAACAAAGTTAAAATTATAAGTATATTACTTGTTTTGTATGTCATACATATAATGTATATATAGAAACAAGAAACAATAAAATAGACTTACAAGCTCACAATAGTCTTAATTTTAACATTTCTCCTTGTCGTTGTTGGATGAGCAGAGTTAAATTGATAAATAGTGCAAGTAGGTACACAAATTACCAAAAGCATCCAATGTTCCCTACGCCAAAAGGTTATAATGTTAAATTCATCACATGTATGTATACTTAAGTGGTACATAATATGGAACTTTGTTACTACGTACTTACTCTTGAAAAAATGGTGTCATAATGAATTTTGCCTCATTTCAACTGATTTGCTTACTGCTTTGAAGACATAGTCATGAATTTCATGCAAGCTCTTACGGATTTTCGTTTCACAAGTTTGCTCTGGACACAACCACCCAATCGCATAAGCTTTATCTTTTGATTTCAAATCTTGTTGAAGTAACCTGGATATACAAAATCAACTTAATGTTATGATAACAGGTTGGTGTATATAAACACAAAATTTGTAATCACAATGACACAATGGCTTGCTTATTACCTCATGAATACTTGAATAATTGATATGTTCAACTTTGCTCCTCTAAAGAACTGAGAGGCGTCCTCCATGTTTACCCATGCAATCCCATCTTTTTCAAAATGGAATACAGTGTGATCTAATTTTACAGCAATAGGTTCCCCATCTGGCAAGGAGTCAAAAAATGTTGCCAACCACTTATTATCCAAGCTAAGAGATTCCATCAACATTTAGGGAACAAGTACGGTTCTTTGGGTGGCCTCTCCAAAGCGTAAGTCATTGCTTGCAATCTCTGGTGACAAGGGATTGAGTTTCTTGGTTGGAGTGATTCCTAAAATGTGTCATGGAAATTAAGTTACTTAATTTAATAAGGGTCTGAAAATGTTTATTTTCTAAAGTAATTTAAGCTTTCAGTTAGTTAATTTAATAAGGGTCTGGATAAAATAAAAATTATAAGTATGTTAGACATGAAAACTTACCTCAGTCTGAAATTTTATCAATGACAACGGCCATTGTACATATGTTTTAATCCCATGTTGTAACACTTCGATCTCAAACGTCGGGATAGGAACGGGAAGTGGTAGGCCATAAAACTCCTCATGTATAGTATGAATTTCCACCTTCACATGACTAGGTAAGATGGCCATAAGATGAACCAATTCATTCTGAACAGGTTGATATGCAATAGCACTCCCCACGTCATACATCGATAACGTTTCAGGATCCTTTAGAAGTAAATTACATAAAGTTTTACCCTACAATTAAATTAAACATAGTAAGTCAATTTCTACCTACAACCAAGAATGTTAAGTGTTAAGTTCATGTCAAAAGTATTAAAACAACAAGTAATTAATAGTAGTTACCTGTAAGTCAAGTGGCAGAAGCTCGTTCTGCTTTGTTGGTGAAGTAAAAGGCACACCGGTATAGGTATCTTGCCCTGATTTACAAGTAGTATCATTAGGCAACTTGAAACCCATGTCTAGCAAGTATGAAGACATTTTGTCCTTCATGGTTGCATCAAACTCCTCTTTCAACTCTTGACGAAGTTCATTTTTTAAAGCTTCTCGTTCTTCGGTTGAAGTTCTAGTTTGGCTACACTTGGTCCTTCCTACTTCCTTGCCAAATGCCTTCTTGATCCCGACGTTAAGACCTCCAAAACCTCTTGCACGACCCGAATGGTCTGCCTTCTTCCCAAAAGCCATGAATAATGCATCCTTGTTTTGGTGTGGAGTAAATTCTCCTTTTTCTTGCTTCTCTCTATAGTCAAGCTGTGTAAATTAAAAATCAATTATAAAGCCTTAATATATCAGGTAAGATAGAGAGAGTCTGGGAGATATGAAACACCGTTTATATCAGGTATGATAGAGAGACTCTAGTCCTAACTTTCTAGCTGATATTTTATTGGAGGACAGACCTCCCTAACTACTCTGTAAATTTTAAACCTTATTATTTGAAACACATAGTCCCCTAAAAAAAAAATCATCTTCAAATAATAAAAGGCTTAAGTAAGATCATGAATTGTAATTAAGTTATTAGTAGCCTCATACAAATTCATTAACATGAACAGTGATCTACCAACTAGTATTACGTAAAAATAATACTTACATATGCATCAACCACTTCTTTAGTTTTGGAGTTTGGGAGGTATCTTTTACCAGTTGCCTTGTCCTTCCTATGCATTGCACATAACCAATCATCACCTCGATTGATTTCAATGGTAATTTCTTTAGGTTTTTCCTTGCATGATTTCGACGATGTGGATTTGCGAGACGGATAAAAACCCTCCTCAATCCAAATCTTTCTGCTGTCCTCATAGTTTCTCTGCCGCATACCATGGTGATGAATATTCATACTCGCACTCTTCTGGGCCTTCTCTCGCTTTGCCTAAGAATGAATTTTGTTTTGGTTAAATTGCAAAACTTTATTAATTAAATTGCCAATAAATTAAAATAATGATATTACCTTTGCTGCATCGGACATCTTTGTTTTTTAAATAATTTCCAATCTTCTTCCTTTGTGTCTGTAAAGTTGGTATGGCTCGCGACCTTCCTTTTGTTTGGACTTTTTTCGTGTGAAAATTATCCATCCAGACACTAGTTTAGCTTTAAAATCTCCAAATCTCATAGCTACTGCACTTAAAAACACCTTTTTTTTTTATCTCTAGCTCATCAGGTATATGGAATTGGGCCTGTTAGGAATAATAATATAAGTGGAGAAACACATCAGTTAATTAGATTAGCACTCATCAAGCTAAAATTGCAATATAAAAGCAGTCCCATTTGCTATTTCAGAGGTGACAATAGTAAATTTTAGATAACAAGTTAATAGAAGGTGATAACTTTTGATTTAGAGTTACCTGTGTCTCTTGCCACAAAGTATTCTTTAAGCTTTCACTGACAGTAGTACACCATTCCCAATTGATGTTCAGCTTGCGTATACACAAGCCAAGTTGCTGACCATACTTAAACCTCCATTTCCCAGTTGGACGCAATAAATGACCAAATTCAAGGTGCATTGGTTCATTTACTCTTAAACCTCTAGTCGGACATCTTCCATTACTAGTGCCACGACCTCTTCCTGTACGCATCCCTTTCTTAGCAGTTTTCACAGCTTGATGGGTCGTATTTGTAGCAGTAGCAGGTGTTGCAATTGTCATAACGACATTAGACAGAGAAGCCGCATCAGCCATCTTTTCATAATCATCAAACCTTTGCTTTAATTCATCATTAGCAATGTCTTCTAGTTCACCCTTATCAACCTCTACTTCGACATCATACTCGGGATCACTCTCAGATTTATCAGACAACTCATCGTCATCATCAGCTTCTATATCACCACCAAATTCAGCAATACATACAGGCCATGATCCTCAACCTACAAGTTTACAGAAATAATCAGAAACACCTCGCAACATCATAGGTAAGAAACTAGAAATACATGATAAGTTATTTTTGGGGACTTGTATGTGGCTCAGATTAGCCTCCAGTTCCATGTAACTGTCACACATATGTTGTGAAATACATATTTTGTGCTTGAAACTAACTCATCAAAATTAATGTTAAGAATAAAATTTTAAAAAAAAAAATTCACTAAAACTGGTAGAGAAGTAAGATAACCCAAATGCAGAGGTCTGCTAGACTAATTTGAAATACATAGTAACTTTAGTACACAATAACTACAATACATAAACAATCTGAAATGTCACTAACACTAAAATACACAAACTAGCAACTGAAGTACACAGTAACTACCATACAGAAACAATCAGAACTATCACTGACACTACAATACACAAAATAGCAACTCAAGTAATAATGCTCTATGATCAACAGGAACTGATCATTAAGGTTCTTTGACAGTAATGCCTTTTTGGTGATCTACGCGCATATAATTAGTGTCAACATCTAGTCCTTCTGGCACATGACAATCTGGAATTGAGAATGGTAGCGTGTCATCAAAATTATCATAATCTTCTTCATCATCTACATCACATATCCCTAGAATGTATCTCTTCCCTTGAACAACAACATACCATTCATTATCAATGATGTCCTTTACGTAGAACACTTGTTTAGCTTGTGATGCTAATATAAATGGCTCTGCAGTGTCACGGAAACGACTCTTGTTAACAAAAGTGTAATTGAATGGTCCATCCTTTTTCACACCACGGCGCCCTGTATCAGACCACTTGCATTGAAATAGTGGAATTTTAAATTCTGTGTAATCAAGCTCCCAAATTTCCTAGATTACTCCATAGTATGATAAGATCGCATCAATTGGGGACTTATCCTTGGAACTTGCAAATTCTCTAGAAGAAGCAACAACCGTAACACCACTATTTTGCACGGTCCTTGACTTTTTATCTTGGCGTTCAGGGTAGAAACTATATACATTGATGTCATACCCTTCATAAGAGCGTAAAGTTTCTTGAGGACCATATGCTAGCCATTTGATTGTTTCAGAGAATATGTTTCCTGTTTCAGACAGCTCATGCATCACTTCATCACGAAACTAATCAACAAAAAGGCAATTATGTTCTAACATCAAGGCCCTTTCACCTTTGGAAGGATTTTTTTTTAATCTCAACTCACTCATATGCTTGTCAAGGTAAGGATGAACCTCCGTAACATGATGTAACACAAAGAGGTGAGCTTGCATATACTTGTCTGGAGGGGCTAATATATCTTTACCACCAACTGTACCCTTACCTTCAAGCCTCCCTTCTTGTCGAGATTTTCGGAGTCTAATAGGTTGAGCTCTAGACACAAACTCAGCAATGAAGTTACCAACGTCCTCTGCCACCGTCCATTGAACAATACAAGCTTCCGGTCAAGCAGGATCCCTCACCTTATGTTGCATGGATCCCATATGTGTTTCAAATGGGTAAGCCCATCTCATAAAGACCGGACCACAAATCTTAATCTCTCGAACTAGATGAATGACCAAATGAACCATTATGTCAAAGAAGGAAGGCGGGAAATACATTTCAAATTGACACAATGTTACGATGACCTCTGATTGCAAACTATCTAACTTTTTCGGATCAAGCACCTTATTGCATATAGTATTGAAAACTGAACAAAGTCTCATGATGGAATCTCTAACATGCTTAGGCAATATCCCACGAATTGCAATCGGGAGGAACACTTGCATCATGACATGACAATCATGGGATTTCATGCCAACCAATTTCAAATCGGTCTTAGAGACGAGTCTTTTAATGTTGGATGAACATCCACTAGGAACCTTTATTTCATCAAGGCATTCACATAATTTCCTCTTCTCCTCTCGAGACAATGTATAACAAGCGGGAGGCAAATACGATGAGGTGCCCTTTCCTTTCCTTGCATTTTCCTTAATCACGGACCATAACTCTGGCCGAATCTTCATTTCCATCATATCTTTGTGAACCTTTACCCCATCTTTTGTCTTGTTTGGAATGTTAAACAATGTAGCGAGAATGGCATCACACACATTCTTCTCTATATGCATGACATCCAAACAATGTCTAATAGGTAAATGTTGCCAATATTCAAGCTTCCAAAACACTAACTCCTTCTTCCAAATGACCTCGGGATCGGTGGCTTTATTTGGTTTACCAAACACCGTTTCAATACCTCTAACTCGATCATAAACTTCTGTTCCCAATAATGGCCTACGAGCTACCCCCTCTTCTACCTTACCATTAAATGCAGCTTTTTCCCATCGGTAAGGATGCATCCTATCAAGGAACTTTCGAGTAGCTCTATATACATAATTCCCAGAATTTGGCAAATAGGTAGATTCTGTATTGTCTACACATATTGGACATGCCTTCTTTCCCTTGATCTTATACCTTGACAGATTACCATAAGCTGGAAAGTCATTGATTGTACAAAAGAGCATAGCTCGCAAGGTAAAAGATTCATTACAATGAGCATCAAAAACTGAGATTTCTTCGTTCCACATTTTTTTCAAATCATCGATGAGTGGAGCAAGGTAGACATCAATATCGTTCCACGCTGCTAGGGACCTGATATCAGCAAAGGCATCATCATATATTTCCGCTTCATACATAATCAAGGAGGAAGGTTATAAATAACCAAGAGAACTGGCCATGTGCTGTGTTGTGTGCTCTAACTACCAAATGGATTCATTCCATCCGTACATAGGGAAAGCCTAAGATTCCTTTCTTCTTTGTCAAATTCTGGAAATTGATTGTCAATAAGTGCCCATTGTGGAGAATCTGTCGGGTGTCTTAGAAGTCCATCTTTCTTCCTACGATCAGCGTGCCACGTTAAATTTTTTGCATCATTATTTATTAAAAAAAATTGCCAAAACCTTGGCATTATAGGCATATACCAAAGCACTTTGGAAGAAGGGCCTTTACTTCCCTCCCCGGATCGGACTCCATCGGGCAACTTGTAACGAGACTTATGGCATCGAGGATACTTATCCAAATGTGCAAATTCGTTTCGATACAATACACAATCATTCGGAAAAGCATCTATTTTCTCATACTCCAAACCAAATGGGCACATCAACTTCTTGGCATAATAGGTCGACTTAGGCAATTCATGACCCTTTGGAAGCATATCTTGCATCGCTTCCAGCAAGGATGTAAAGCTTGTGTCAGACCAACCATGCTTTGATTTCAAGTTGAATAAGGTTAGCACGGCGGATAACTTGCTATATGCAATACATCCAGGGTATAATCGCTTCTCAGGTGCTTCAGACAATTTCTCAAATAAATGAGGTCGTTCATCAAATTCATGCTGAGACCCCTTTATCATTTCTTCTATATTGTCTTCCTCAATGTCATACTCCTCATCAACATAAAACTCGTCAAAGTCATTATCCTCATCTAGTTCAGATCCATTATCTCTTACCCCGACCATCTCATCATCATGAACATGCGGATGTTCAAGTTTGAGTTTGGCATTAGATTGCACATGTCGTCATGCATTGAATGTAATGTAGAGTTTCCCCTGAACGCTCCACTCTCACCGTGCCATAACCAATCATGATATTGTTGCCGAAATCCACGTCGAATAATATGGTCCCTAAGTGTGGTGATATTATGGACCCTTTCAAAATTTTGGCAATCGACGCAAGGACAATAAAATTCATCATCCTCTATGCTAGATTGATGATCTAAAGCACATTTGCAAAATTCCTCTACCCCACTCAAGAACTCGATCGAATTTCATGGACCATACATCCAACTTCGATCCATTTCTACCGACCAACCACTACAAACACAATATTTTTGTTAAACTAATATGTTACAACATTGCAACAAATTCATCATATTTCAAACGTAACCACAAGTAAGTTTCAAATGGACATATAAGCTTATGCAATTTTTACCAAACATAATTTATTTTTAAGAAACATATAATTAATACATAATACAAAACCACTCGCAATAAGCATATCATAGAAATAGTAGCTCACCAAGGATTATAATAAATATGTACATGAGCAATACAAACTTATAAAGAAAAATATGAAAGGAAAGATAAAGTACCAAAGACACAATTAAAGGTAGTTGGTGCCAAGCTAGAAAGGACAAAAGTGACAAAAATGATTTTCCAGAGGTTTCAAGGAACACAACAATATCATCATCACTGTCACAGATAAAATGCAGTAACCAGGGGAATACAACAATGATAGGTAGAGGCAAAACCAACTATACCATTCCCAAATCACACCTAAAACAAGTCAATCCTTCGACTTCAAATAACAGGTAGGGCTATTAATTGTTGTGAATAGGAGACTAACAAGTCAATCCTTCACTTCTCATTTGTACAACAAACTTCCTAGTGAAAAAAAATGCATTAGCTTAAAAATGTAACCAATTAAACTAAATCATATCTCTTTTTAACGAAAAAATGAAAAATAGAGAGGAAATGCATCATTTAAAATAAATTAACTACAAGCATTGAGTCTTGAACTAATACCTTGGAGATGTCATTAAGAGATAATTCTATCAATGATTTTCCAGAGGTTTCAAGGAACACAACAATATCATCATCACTGTCACAGATAAAATGCAGTAACCAGGGGAATACAACAATGATAGGTAGAGGCAAAACCAACTATACCATTCCCAAATCACACCTAAAACAAGTCAATCCTTCGACTTCAAATAACAGGTAGGGCTATTAATTGTTGTGGATAGGAGACTAGTTGGCTTCAAACTTCAAGTTCTCATTAAAAATGATTCTGAAGGAGTACAACCATTTTTTTAAGAGCCAGAAGTGTACAAAGTAATCTTTTTCACAGAACATCAATACAAATCAGTGAAAGGAATGGTGTCCTTCGAACAAGTGTACTATTCCGTTAGAGGGGGTTCAAAATTATTAGAAAGCTAATATATTCAGTGAGGTCAA